GCATTCAATAAAAGTGTTTTGAAGATGGTATTAATTCTTTCTCTCAAATATCTCTCAAATCCTCTCTCTTCATTTTATTACCACAGCTACTGCCCTGGTTCGGGCCTTTTCATTGCTACCCTGGAGCTTAGCCACATACCCAGCTCCTGGCCTCGGTCTCTCCTGCAAGCAACGGGCACTCTGTCACAAAAGCCTTTCCTTCATGAATATCCTTTGCCCATACAGAAAAGTCTGGACTGAACCCAGCCTTCCTCTTCAGCCTCACCTCCCTTCTGTCCTCCAGGCACTGGGAGCCTCCGGCCCAAATGATGGACCGAGCCCGTCACTTCTTTACCTGGAAAACTCCTATTCATCCATGAGAACCTAAATGCAATACCTTTCTCATTCATTCATTAAACATACTGTTTGTAGAGCTGTTGGAGATCCAATGGGAGGAAGAACTGGGCCCCTGGCCCAACCTCAGCTCAAAGGGGTGGGAGGGAGAACAGAGAGAATTTGATGCTCTCAGGAAATCAAATGTATTTCAGCTGATTTATAGGAGAGATGAGAACTGGTGAGATTAGAGACCTAGGCATGGTCCAGATCACAGGAGCCTTACCATTATAATATTAACTTTTAATCCTCATAACAGCTGTAAAAGGTAAGGGCTATTATTATCATTATCTAAGTCATCTCATTATTGTTTATAATTCTCATTTATCTCATTTTACCTCATCTAAGGCAGAGGTTAAGTAGGTTGTTCGAGGTCATACAGCTGATAAGTGGGAGAGCTGGGATTCAGGCTTCAGAAGCCCTGACCCTAACCACTGGGATGTTCCACCAGGACATTAGCCCAAGGCAGTAAAAGGAAGCCTTAGAGGGTTAGAACAGGGAAATGACACAGTGAGCCATCAACTGGACGGACAGTGGATGGGAAGGAGCGGGGGTGGAGACAAGAAGACCAGGAAGGACGTCATTGGGTGACCCCTGTAAGAGAAGCCTCCTAGAGCAAGTCTGGTAGCCCTGAAGAGCGAAGCTAGGTAGAGCTCAGAGGTCCCCAGGGGATGATCTTAGCAACAGAGTGGAGAACCTGGACATGGAAGTGGGAAGAGCCAATGCCTGAGCCTTCAGCCACTGCTGGGTGGTGGGCCTTTCAGGGAGATGGGAAACTGGAGGAGGGCCAGGTTCGGGGGATGGGGCCAGCATTGCAGAGCTCAGTGTTTTGGGTTCCCAGGCTTCTTTTATGGAGTTCAGCTCACAGGATTGCGACAGTGATTTGTTGGCACGTTTGGTTTCCTCATTAGTAAAAACAAGCACCGGGCTTCTTTATTAATTCTCTGCGTCATTCCATGGAAGATTGGAGGTGGCTTACAAAAACACACAAAGACTTAGTCTGCGAGCTCCTCCGCGGCAGAGGACTTCTCTGTCATATCCCTCCACATCCTCTGGGCCTAGCCCTGTGCTTGGCACATGGTCAGGGCTTATAAATATGTGTTGTTTGCATGAACAAAAGGATAGCAAAATAATTGCTAAGTGTGTAGGAGTGAGGGAGAAATAAGGGTTGGAAACTAATCCAGGAGGGGGCGGAGAGTCGAGCGTGTGGTTAAGGGCACGGAGTTCCCACGCCTCAGCAGGCTAGCTGAGCAACCGCGGGGAAGACGGCGGACCTCTCGGTGCCTCGGTTGCCGCTCTGTAAAATGGAGATAATAACAGAACCGATCTCAAATGATTGTCCATCAGTGGGGGACTGGATTACAAAAAATACGGTACATCATAGGCTGGAATAATATGAAGCCGTAAAAAGGATGAGAATTCTGTTTGTGTATTGACGTGGAATGATAGTCAGGATATATTTGTTGAGTATAAAAATGCGTGGCACAGAGCAGTGTGTATGGGTCGTTACCATTTGTGTCAAAAAGAGAGAAAAATAATACTCGTGTGTGTGTGTGTGTGTGTGTACACATTCGCGCTCTGTGAGAGTACACAAGCACTTGGTTACACTGGCCGTCTTCAGGGTGTGGGGGGAGAGAGGGAGAATTTTTAACCAAATACCATTTGGAATCATTGATGTTTAGGATCATGGGAATATAGTACCTATTCGCAAATGAATAAAATTTAAATTAAAAAAAGCAATGGATTTTTTTTCACACCTTTTAAGAAACACTCTCTCTGTCCGCCCCCGCCCCTCCCCATTCCCTCCAGCCAGTGCCCCATTTTCTGCTCCCTTGACCAGCAAAGAGATTCTGTGCTTGCCGTTTCCCACTGTCTCTCCTCGTCCTCTTTTCAGCCTGCCCCGGTCAGGTTCGGGGTCCTACCTCTCAACCCGGACTGCTTTCTCAGGGTCACTGATGGCCTCCACGTTGCCGAACCCGGTGGCAATTCTCAGTCCCACGGACAGTGTT